GAATGTCTCCGGAGAAGGAGACTCCTCAACCTCTCTGGGCAGCCTGGGCCATGCTCTGTCACCCTCACAGTAAAAAAGTTTGTCCTCATGTTCAGGTTGAGCCTCCTGTGCTCCAGCTTGCACCCATTGTCCCTTGTCCTGTCATTGGACATCACTGAGCAGAGCCTGGCTCCTTCCTCCTGACACTTGCCCTTTACAAATTTATAAACATTAATGAGGTCTCCCCTCAGTCTCCTCTGCTCCAAGCTAAAGAGCCCCAGCTCACTCAGCCGCTCCTCGTACGGGAGATGCTCCACTCCCTCCGTCATCTTTGTGGCTCTGCTGGACTCTCTCCAGCGGTTCCTGTCCTTCTTGAACTGAGGGGCCCAGAACTGGACACAATATTGCAGATGTGGTCTCACCAGGGCAGAGCAGAGGGGAAGGAGAACCTCTCTCGACCTACTCACCACTCCCCTTCTGATACACCCCAGGATGCCATTGGCCTTCTTGGCCACAAGGGCACATTGCTGGTTTGAAAGAAATAATTTCACAGCAGCACCCCATTAAAGACAAATCTGAACAACAGTCTTGAATTTTGCTCTTCACACATGGGATAAAACTGGTAAGGATCAAACCAGGCCTCCACATTTACAGCTGTAAATCTTAACATCATTTACATTGCCTAAACCTGGAGATACGTCATTTGCCCCACTGCACTGTAGTCAGTGAGTTATTACTTATGTCAGCTTACAGAAGAGTGGTACTCTCAATGCCCTGTCAATAGGAGAAATTCCACCTCTGGTTCAGAATAAAATGGAAAGTCACATTATCTCAGATCCAGAGACTTACCTACAGTGTTACATATGCCAGCAAAGTAGGAAACTTTTCCTTAAAGTTACAGATTTCCTGACACACCAGTAATAATGCTGGCATGCAATCATACATGCAAATGAACACGCACTCCCTCAAATGGTATTACATCTTCCAGAAAGTTGCAGAGATATTTTCTATCTGTATTAATGTTGCAAGACAACTGTAAACAAGAACCAAGGACTTCTTTTATCATAGAATCATAGAATCACAGAATGGTTCAGGTGGGAAGGGACCTTAAAGCTCATCCAGTCCAACCCCTGCCATGGGCAGGGACACCTCCACCAGCCCAGGCTGCCCAAAGCCCCATCCAACCTGGCCTTGAACACTGCCAGGGAGGGGGCATCCACAGCTTCCCTGGACAACCTGTGCCAGTGTCTCACCACCCTCACAGTAAAGAATTTCTTCCTAATATCTAGTTTTGTCTGCATTTTGTTTTCCCCACAAAGAAGCTTCTGCTCAATAGCCAGAATTTTCATCCAACAGATGCTATTTGCGTGCACGTGTTTTGTTTTGTTTCTTATACAGCTGTTGTGGGTTAACCCCAGTAAGCAGATAAGCACCACACAGGTGCTCAGTCACTTTCCCCCCACCCTAAGTGGGATGAGGGGGAAGAGGAAAGGAAAATAAAAATGAGAAACCTTGGGGGTCAAGAAAAAACAAACAAACAAACAAAAGTTCTATAATAAGTGAAGGATAAGTTGAACAAGAGGAAAAACAAAACAAACAAAACAACAACAAAACAAAATAAGGGATCATAGAATCATTAAGGTTGGAAAAGACCTCCAAGATCATCAAGTCCAACCGTCAACCCAACATAACCATGCCCACTAAACCATGTCCCTAAGTACCACATCTACAGGTTTTTTGACGATATCTAGGGCTGGTGACTCCACCACTTCCCTGGGCAGCCTGTTCTAGTGTTTGACCAGTCTTTCAGTAAATAAATTTTTCCTAATATCCAAACTAAACCTTACCTGGCACAACTTGAGGCCATTTTCTCTTATCCTATCTCTAGTTACTTGGGAGAAGAGACCAACACTTGCCTCACTACAGTCTTCTTTCAGGTAGTAGCAATAAGGTCTCCCCTGAGCCTCCTCTTCTCCAGACTAAACAACCCCAGTACCCTCAGCTGCTCCTCATAAGTCTTGTGCTGTAAACCCTTCACCAGGTTCCTTGCCCTTCTTTGGACACCCTTCAGTGCCTCAGTGCCCTTCTTTGCAGTGAGGGGCCTAAAACTGAACACAGTACTCGAGGTGCAGCCTCACCAGTGCCAAGTACAGGGGAAGAATCACTTCCCTACCCCTGCTGGCCACATTATTTCTGATACAGGACAGGATGCCATTGGCCTTCTTGGCCACCTAGCACACTGCCGTCTCATTTTCGGCAGGCTGTCAACCAGAATGCCTAGGTCCTTTTCTGGTCTTTCCAGCCACTCATTCCCAAGCCTGTAGTATTTCATAGGGTTGTTGTGACTCAAGTGCAGGACCCAGGACTTGGCCTTGTTAAACCTTGTTCAATTGGCCTCAGTCCATCAATCCATCCTATCCAGGTCCCTCTGCAGAGCCATCCTGCCCTCAAACATATCAGCACTCCCACCCAATTTGGTTTTGTCTGCAAACTTACTGAAGGAGCACTCGATCCCCTCATCTAGATCATTGATAAAAACAGTAAACAGAACTGGCCCCAAAACTCAGCCCTGGGGAACACCGCTTGTGACTGGTCACCAACTGGATTTAATTCCACTCTCCACAACTCTCTGTGCTCAGCCATCCAGCCAGTTTTTTACCCAGCAAAGAGTAAACCTGTCTAAGCCATGAGCCACCAGCTTCTCAAGAAGAATGCTGTGGGAGACGGTGTCAAAGGCTTTACTAAAGTCCAGGTAGACAACATCCACAGCCTTTCCCTTATCCACGAGGCAGGTCACCTGGTCATAGAAGGAGATCAGGTTGGTCAAGCAGGACCTGCCTTTCATGAAACCATGCTGACTGGGCCTGATCCCCTGGTTGTTCTGCACATCCCATGTGAGCACACTCAAGAGGAACTGCTCCATAACCTGCCCCACTACTGAGGTCAGGCTGACAGGCCTGTGGTTTCCAGGATCCTCCTTCCGGCCCTTCTTGTAAATGGGCGTCACGTTGGCAAGCCTCCAGTCGACTGGGACCCCCAAGACAACTGCAAAAGCAATCACTCACCACCTCTTGTGGGTAGACTGATGCCCTGCCAGTCCCTGAGCAAAAGAAGGGTAACCGCCCTAAAGCCTCCTCTTTCTACATTTATTGCTTAGCATGAGGTTATCTGACAGAGAATTATCTCTTTAGTTTGGGTCATCTGCCCAGCAGTGTCTCCTCCCAGCCTACTGCACACCCCTAATCTATTCACTGGAGGGGCTGAGTGAGAAACAGAGAAGGGACTGATGCTGTGTAAACACTGCTCAGCACAAGCTAAAACATTAGTGTGTTATCACCATGTTTTCATCACAAATCCAAAACATAAACCATACAAGCTACTACGAAGAAAATTAACTCTATCCCACGCAAAACCAGTAGAAGAGTGCAGCACAACAGGTACAGTTCCACATCCAATCATCCTAATAATAAACTAATTAAAAATACTAATGCAAAGTGGGGAGAAAAAAGATTGGCTGTGCTAATTTAGTCTCATAAAGGGGTGCATTTTTCTGCTGGCTTTGTGAGCTAAACCAGCTCACCAAAATGAACAATGAGTACAAGATATAATGAGAGGGGTAGGACAACACAGCACAACAGGATCTTTGGAAGGAAAGAACAAGAGCATAGCACCCCTCTTTTTAGCTGCCAATGAGTATTTGCATCAGCTTTGTCAATCCATCAAACAATACTTAATTTTATTTAGTCTTGAAAGAAACTAAAGCAACTTTCAGAAGCAGCAGGCATAAATGCAAGCTTCATAGGCAGTATTCAACACCCTCTGGCTAAGGTAAAGGTTTCACATCCCTGCACAGCTCACCCTTTCTTTATGCCCATGTCTCCTGCCAGTTTACACTGCATAATCTTGTAACTCATCTTACACCAGCTCTAGCAGTCACTCACTGGGCCAGCCTGTCTGGCAATTTAGGTCACTAAAACGGTAGACTACCCTCTGCTACCTCCTCCACTACCCATTCCCCCCCCCAAAAAAAAACACAAAAGAGAATATTTTTGTGCCATTTTAGTAAATTGTATCAACCAAAGGTATGGCAAGAGACCCAAACACACCTTAATGGGAAGCAGAGGTGGGAGTGGGAAGATGCATCACTCAGGAGGTTGAAGTCTAGGTAAATACTAAGAAATACAGTTATGAGTGCATTTTTTCAATATTTATTCTAATTTCTCTTTTAATTTGAGACTACAGATAGTTATCCTATTTTCCATGAAAAGTGATAAGGCTGCAGATTAGCAC